AGTAAATCGCCTAATTTTTATGTTAAGATAATTGAATATTTCATGCCTATGTAGAAACAAATAAAAAACAAAATAAAAGAGGTAATTAAAAAATGCTAGCTTTATGGTACATGTATATCGTATTTATGTATGTATACCAATTGATCTTTTGGAATATGATAGGCAGCGTCCTGTAGATGTACAATAAGGTTTTGGAATTTTTCAATTTTACCCTGGCTGCAAATCGGGGGTAAAAAAAAAATCACGATTTTTTTTCTTTAAAAAAGAAAAAAAAGCTGGTTCCCAGAATTTCCTCTTGCATTTAATGCAGTACCCAATTAATCTTTTGGAAGATGATTGGAGGTGTCCTATAGATATGCAACAAGGTTTTAGAATTTATTTTCACCCGCGGGGTTAAATGGGGGTTGAAAATGACGTTTTGTATACAAAAAACCCGATTCCCAGAACTCCTGTCCACAACAATACAGTGTCTCACTTGCATGTTTGTGAGGCGTTTTTTCATTGGCATTCAACATACATGTTTTTTACATGTTGTTATGATTGTCCCAGAAATCCAGTGAGATTTTTACAACTTTTCCCGACTTTTTCACAAAAGAGCCCACTAACAACTTTAACTCTTCCCTGTGGAAATATAAAGTATTAGGATTTAACATAATTTTTTTTTTACCTTTTTTGACGTTGACCTTTGGACCTTTAAAAAAAATTGGTTTAAGGTTCCTGCACACCCTTTACATGGGTGAAGTTTGGGCCACGTAGGGTCAAAGGGAGAGAAAATATACACAAGACAACAATTTTATAATCGAGATTTTCAAAGATGGGTGGGGCTGATCCCAACGCTTACGTCGGATACCTATACGGGGAATCTCGTCTTTACCCATCACCCGTCACTTTTAGTAAAGGACGTGATAATCCTTGGGCATCTTTCGATGACGTACATACAACTAAATTGTTTGTGATAAAAATGCGAGAATATATTATGTTTTAATGACCATTTCTAGAATTCTAATTCCATGATACTTTTTTGCAGTTAGAGAGATCTGTCCTTTGATGTGAAAACTGCAGTTCTACAGTGTATGACAATATTTGTTTATCAATTAAAGTACCAGGGTATTTTAAAAAATTAAAAATAGTTGGAAAATTTATTTGAATATATTTTCCCCCATTGATGTAAGAAAAAAAGAAGGTAATTTGTATTAATCAAGATAACCTTCAGGGGTCATGACCTATATTACTCTTTTAATGCGTCATGACACAAACAAGATTGTGATATGGTATTTGTAATTCGTTTTGTGTAAAGCTTTCAACTGTTTTTTTTTTCTTTTCTTTTCTTTTTTTTTTTTTTTTTAGATATTTGTTTGACCACTTCCAGTTTCAGTGGGTGGGAATGACCTCCAGGGGTCATGAGATACCAATATACCATTTTATGTGTCATGACACAAGGATAGGTATCTGATTTAGGGCAAAGCTTTCATTTGAGATACCTATACCTGTGTTCAGTCTCTCTTGCAGAGTTATAGTTCTTTCCTCTCTCAGACATACAGTGAATGTATGACCTGATGGTACAGAGTGACTTTCTATGTCAGCTAGTCTGAAAATCCATTTAAAAATGATACAAGTTCCTGCTTAACATCACAAAATAGATTGTATATGAAATAAAGCATCGTGTTAATAACACAAACACCATGTGCAAATCAAAGAACATGGTAAAACTAGTACTACAGTAACTATTCGGGAAGGGTGATTGTAACTTCTGGGGTCGCAAAAAATATCATCTAGAAATTTTCCAAAGAGGGGGTAGTTGGGGCAAATATGACAGGAAAACAAATGAATTTAAGATGTGTATGTTGGGCGAAGTCAATCAGGGTCACCCTGGTGGGTTTGGACCCCCCCCCCCCCCAAAAAAAATAATCTGATATGGTTTGTTTGTTGTTGTTTTTTTTTTGGCTTTGTTTTGTTTTTGTTTTTGGTTTTGTTTTTCTTTTTTAAAAATATTGTTTTGGCATCTAATTTTCGATTTCAGCAGAATTGCCACACACTAAAAAAAGATCATTTGCTGTTTTGCAACAACATGAGCAGATTCGTCAACTTCCAAAAAATCTTTCTTAAAGAGAATTTCAGACAGGTATTAAATAATTTTACTAGTGAAATACTAACACGAGGCCTATTGGCCACAAACTCACCTGTGCATTTTTAATCCATGAATATATTTTATGTAGATTATGGAATAACTATTGTGGGTTCTTCATCACCAAGGTAGAAGGGAGAGTATATTTATGTGCGGGTATTACTGTCTGATGACAGACTCAGCATCTAGTTTACTTTTGTTTACAAAATTTTCTTTCATCTATGCTTGAATGGAAATTACGTTAATTACACTGAGTAATCAATTTAAAGTTTTATTGTAGATATTATAAGGGAAAAAAATAGTATTTCCGGGAACTAGAAATTTGATTACTTTCTCAGTTATATATTTCAGTTAAGAAAAGATTCATTTCTGTGTTCACATCACTTCATATCATTTCACTTAAAAAGTATCAAAAGTAATGAAAAGCAATTGTACGTACATTTTGTTTATATAGTTCTGAAGCTATATACATAAAGGTTACGATTAAAAAATAATAAATGACTTTAAAGACTATGCAGCCTGTCTTCCAATTTCAATAATGTATAAATACTAATAATAAATACGTGTACTTAAAAAATAAATCGGTATGAATTACATTGTGTAAGCCTACTTCTCTTCAAATTCAAAATAATCTCCTATGTTTAATAATGTTATAAAAACAGAGTAATGTATATACACGCCTTTTCACATTTAAAATGTTCAAAAATTAAGAATGTTTACCTGTAAATCTTAAGTTAAAATTTTGTTTTAAATAATTTGTAAAATTTAATTTTCATCGTTTGAAATTATTTATTGCTGGTAATCAAATAATTAGAAAAACGGAAATAAATCATTCTAATAGTCGTTAATAGCAGAACTCCGACCTAAAAATAAAAATATTTTCCTACAAAATATCGATTACAAAATTCAAATGAAATATATGATAATATTATTGAGATTGCAAATTGTTGTATGAGTGAGAGATTAATTATTATCTGAACATCTACTCGAACTTCGACCTGGAAATTTTCGACGAAATCTGTTCAAATCTCGAGATGTTTCATTTGAAATGCAATCTTTAAGGACTTAGCTGCAGCAGTCTGATGTTAAGGAGGAAGACTGTTTGGAGTATTGGACCTATATCAGTCATGGATTCAAAGTACAAAATTAAAGTTGTGTTTTGGAATAACATACATCTACATTTTATAGTATTAATACGTAAATTAAATTTGGTCTTTAATGAATGATATGTGAAGATACCAAACAGTAATCATCAAAATTCCAATTAAACAATACACATAGATAACATTCCATTCTGATTTTTTTTAAAGGATACTTAATAAATTCTTTTTGGAGTTAAAAAACAATAAGCTACTAGTTTAGTGGGCAACTATTGATTTTTCCGTTTTTCCTGATCATGACAAGGAGCACAAGGCTGGTGTGACCGGTCGGCAGGGGATGCTCACTCCTCCATGATACCTGATCCCACCTCTGATGTTTAGAGCCAGGTCCGTGTTTGCTCTGCTCGACAGCTCCTGGTTTGTGTTGTTTGAATGGACATTTGAGCTTGAATACTGTTCATTATCTCCAAATTTCAATGAAAACACCATAGGTATTTCGTATTCGCTGTACATAACGGTTCGAGGTATGACCAAACGTCGAGGTCAAATGGACAGTAAGGATAATATCTTGAACGTGTTTCGTAAAAAGAGTGCACTTGCCAAACAGCACAAACCTACCTCTCAAAGGTAAAAAAAAATATGTTTATTGTCGCTATAGTACATTTTTAAAAGTGGGTCAAAGGTCAAGTTCAATAGTCACGAGGTCGGTAAGCCTTTGTATTTTACAAAAAGCCATTTCTCCAAGCAAAACATGAGCAAAATCCCATAATCAAATTCCTACTTTCAACAGTTCTTAGGATGTAAGGTGTGGCAGACGGACATACAGATGGATGGACAGCTAGACAGATCTAGACAGACGCAAAGTGATCTCTTACAGTCATTCTATTAGTATTCTGCAGGCGACACAAAAATGAAGCCTTTAATATATCAATAAAAATGTCCTAAAAACATTGGAGATTTTCCCACATTGCAAAAAAAAAATTGCATTACTTGGAAGATGATTCTTTGAAAAATTATTGTTGATACATTTTGTACTTTCTAAATTACACTTACATATCAAATATACTATCTTACAGGAAGAAAAACATAACTCTGTCATTATGATTTGAATATGTTTACAACAGAATGCTTTAACTTACTTAAAATTCCCTAGTCTTGGTAAGCAATTCCTGAATAAAAAATAATGCACCAAAAATAGAATTCTGTTATTGATTAATACTTATTGATGTCTGAAAAATATCAAACATGCACATCAAAGTCTTTCTTGAACTTCACATAATGAAGCCAATTCGATCAAATTATTATGTTAGGTTTTAAGGAACCAATATTGTCAAGGCCTGTCACATTGTTAGAAGATTAGGCAAAATACTAACAACAGATGACAAGAACAACAAGAAATCATAAAAAATAAGATTAACCAATGATATTTATATAGACAAGGGGTTTTATATTTATTACCAATGTCTATATCACATGAATACTTTTCATGACAGAATGTTGATTTCAAACACGAAAGTAACATTTGCTGCACGTATTTTAAAGATATATAAATATACACACAGAGATCTATACGTATTGAATTTTTTTTTCTAATTACGATTATAGTAAATGTTTTAAAAAGAACAGCTGAGGTGAATTTTCCCCCACTATTTCCTTGATGATAAAGTTTTACACATACAGTGCATGGTCGTATACATGTACCAGGTAGTGTGTTCCAAATCTTTCTGTGTCCGATTGTAGAAATTTTTTTTACTTTTATTTTTAGCAAGACAAAGATGACATATTACCCGTGCCTCTGCATTTTACTTATAGTAGCATCGTTAGGAGAGGTGAAGGCGTCAGGTAACTCAGAAATGTGTTTTATAGCTTTAACATCAGTTTTCAAGTAAGTTTTTTTTTCATACATAAACTTGTCAAATTAGATCAGTCATTTGCCTTGTGTGGTGGTCAGAAGGGCTTCATCCGCTGTTGGAGAGGAACCAAGATTCAGATCAAGTCCGCCAACTACGGACGAACAGATAAACAGGTTTGCCCTGGAAGTAAATCTGACATAAATACCTGTCGTTCAAAGACAACAGAACTCAAGGTGAAATGGAACTGTAAAGGATATAGGACCTGTCACCTTCATGCTGCTGATCAGTACTTTGGAGACCCCTGTCCTGATTATTCCAAATATCTGGAAGTTAAATACCGGTGTGTGAAGAGTCCAAATCCCCAAATTAAAGGTATGAAATAAAAATAATATGTCGAAAGCCTTTAAATTATATTATATTAAAAATTAGGTGATAAATTGTACAAAAGAAAGGATAATGGAAATGCAAATTCAAATAGATCCTAAAACGGATTTTGATATGAAAATGTAAAAATAATCATTTGAAATGAAATATGTTTACATTAATCCATAAATATGGACTCTTGTAACAAAATTCTAAAGTCGAAGATAAGTGTAGATATCATTGTGATTCATATGAAGTTATCAGGAAAAAAGAGCTAGAAAGAAATTCTTTGGACAGCTCTTTACGTTTTTGTGATGATTGCTGATTCATGAAAATTCTTGCAAAAGTATATTTACTATGTAATAAATCTACTTCGAGTGAGTTTTTGTATTGTCTATACTAACTTGTAATTAACATTCACCCATTGAATTGAGATTTAGAAATATAACTGTCTTTGTGTTTTATGCAGAGAAATCAATGATTGCCTTCAATGCGTACATAACCAAAAGATTACATCTTCATAGAGACACCCCAGTTAATATTGTATATGATGGTGTTTATTACAACTTTGGAAATGCGTACAATCCTCACAGTGGATTTTTCACAGCGCCATCTAACGGACTCTATGTGTTTACTTGGACAAGTTTCATTGATGTGAAAAAAATTTTGGTGCTCAAATTCTTGTAAATGGAGTCAATAAAGGATACGGAAACTGTAATAATGAACACAGCTCAGGTTACGAAAATTGTGCAAATACTGTACCCTTGGTTCTGAAAGCTGGAGACAAAGTGAACATTAGGACTACAAATGCAAACAATTTGGTAGAAAAATGGTCTAGTTTTAAGGGATGGAAAGTAAAATAAAGAAATGTTTGGAAACTCTATCCTTGTTTTAATGTTCCATGCTGTATAATATTCCATTATATTATAATGTTTAAAAATGACTTCTAGAGATTGAACAAAATGACTTCTAGAGAATGAACAGGCAAGAAATAAATATTCAATGTCTGAGTGGACAAGATGTCCTCTTTATAGGGAAATATCATTTTTCACATTCAGTTATATAACACTATAGTTTTTTTTCATTCATATTTCTTGCATTATAGTAGAAAAAGGATATGTTTGATTTTTTTGGTTCTGTATTACTTATCTACTTTTATGAAAGTGGTCCATTTACACATTTTTACTTTACTGTTCATTGAAGAATTGAATAGCAGATCAAAAACAAACCCAAAAAAAAAGACAATAAACAAAAACAAGCAAGCAAACAAACAAACTAAAAACAAAATAAAAAAAAACCCTGATATTTGTAGATGAGATTAAACAAATACAGTATATAATAAAAAGAAAATGGAATTCTGTTACTGATTGATACTTATTGATGTATGAAAATTATAAAACATGCACATCAAAGTCTTTCTTGAACTTTAGATTATGAAGCCAATTCGATCAAATTATCATGTTTGGTTTTAAGGAACCAATATTGTCAAGACCTGTCACATTGTTAGAAGATTAGGCAAAATACTGACAACAGATGACAAGAACAACAAGAAATCATAAAAAATAAGATTAACCAATGATACATGTATTTATATAGACAAGGAGTATTGTATTTATAACCAATGTCTATATCACATGAATACTTTTCACGACAAAATGTTGATTTCAAACACGAAAGTAACATTTGCTGCATGTATTTTAAAGATATTTAAGGAATGAAGCTTATTTTATCCTAAGTTTATTATCCCCGCGTTTTACTGAAGAAAATGCAGCTTAAACAATCCGTTTTTTCCTTAAACTTCAATATGCCAACAAAGGAATTGACGCGGTTAATATAAGTAATATTCTTAATCACAAAAGTGTCCAGTCTTGTATTCCACCATATTTCAAGTTAAAGACTACACCTTGTATTTCCTACAAATATACATCGACTATTGCTTCCAAACTTTTTAATTACAAGAAAATTTTACAGGGCCTGGATATCGAATATCTGAAACATAATCCTCCATCGTGTTCATGTTCTTCTTCGCCCTATAACTATAGTCCTGCTGGACACGTTATTACTGGTGACGTAAATATAGTTAATAATGAGGACCTTAGATCACTAATTTTAAAAGGTCCTAAATTTAGGGAACCCAGATCCTTCAACTGGCGTAAGAATTTCATAAATATTATGGATTCTGTAGAGGACTACGCCAGGCGATGGGCCAGACATGAAAAAGAAGACCTTGACACTTTGTCAGAATGGATTAAATGTATCAGATGTATGCTAAAATCGCGCATTAAAAGATTGAGAGGCAATATGAAAACCATCTTTCCTTCTGTATTCAATAATCCAGAAGTGAAAAAAGAATTAGATAGATTACATGATCAGTACGTACTGGTCCCTGCTGACAAAGCAGGTAACAACATTGTCTTTGTTTGTAAGACTCATTATATTAAATGTATTTTAGAGGAACTTGGATTTAATTCTACAAGTGGTAATCCAACTTATACTCATAGTTCCCTTTCTAAGGAAGAAATTCTTCAAAATCATATGTCAGTTTTGAATATTTTTAATATTCCAAACAACCAAAATAAATTCGAATTACCATATTTATATTGGATTCCGAAACTTCATAAAAATCCTTACAAACAAAGATACATAGCGGGTTCCAGTAAATGTTCAACCAAGCCTCTATCTTTACTCCTCACTAAGATATTAACAGTGGTGAAGAAGAAACTTCAAGAGTACTGTGCAACAATATATTCGAGAAGTGGTGTAAATCAGATGTGGATACTTAAAAACTCCAAGGAACTTTTGGAAAATTTGAAATCACAAGATTTTACCAAAATCAACAACTTAAAAACTTACGACTTTTCAACTTTATACACAACCATTCCCCACGATAAATTAAAGTCCAGGCTTTTTGATATCATTGACAGCTGCTTTTTCAATAAAAATGGAACTCGTAAATATACTTACCTTGTCATTGGTCATTTGCAAAATTATTTTGTTAAAAAACATTCTGATTGTACACACAAGTACTCTGAAGTTGACATTAAAAAGATGCTTGAGTTTCTGATTGACAATATCTATGTGGTTTTTGGAGACCAGGTCTTCCAACAATCTATTGGAATTCCTATGGGTACCAATTGCGCCCCGTTGTTAGCAGACCTTTTTTGTATTCATATGAAGCAGAATTTGTCCAAAATCTTGTACGTGAAAAGAAGAAAACACTTGCTGTGGCGTTCAACTCGACATTTAGATATATCGACGACGTATTGTCAATTAACAATGGCTATTTTCATTCTTATGTCGATACGATATATCCTGGTGAACTTGAGATAAAAGATACCACAGAGTCTGACACATCTGTTTCATATTTGGATATTTTACTTGAAAAAGACGTTAATGGTAATCTAACAACCAAGCTTTATGATAAACGTGATGACTTTAACTTTTCAATCGTCAACTTCCCTTACTTATGCAGCAATATACCTTCATCATCTGCATACGGGGTATATATCTCTCAGTTGATTCGATACGCAAGAGCATGCTCTACGTATGTGTTTTAAAAAGAACTGCTGAGGTAAGTTTTCCCCCACTATTTCCTTGATAATAAAGTTTTACACATACAGTGCATGGTCGTATACATGTACCAGGTAGTGTGTTCCAAATCTTTCTGTGTCCGATTGTAGAAATTTTTTTTACTTTTATTTTTAGCAAGACAAAGATGACATATTACCCGTGCCTCTGCATTTTACTTATAGTAGCATCGTTAGGAGAGGTGAAGGCGTCAGGTAACTCAGAAATATGTTTTATAGCTTAGACATCAGTTTTCAAGTATCAAGTGTTTTTCTCATACACAAACCTGTCAAATTAGTTCAGTCATTTGACTTGTGTGGTGGTCAGAAGGGCTTTCCGCTGTTGGAGAGGAACCAAGATTCAGATCAAGTCCGCCAACTACGGACGAACAGATAAACAGGTTTGTCCTGGCAGTAAATTTGATATAAATACCTGTCGTTCAAAGACAACAGAACTCAAGGTGAAATGGAACTGTAATGGGTACAAAACATGTCACCTTCATGCTGCTGATCAGTACTTTGGAGACCCCTGTCCTGATTATTCCAAATATCTGGAAGTTAAATACCGGTGTGTGAAGAGTCCAAGTCCACAAATTAAAAGTATGAAATAAAATTAATATGTCGAAAGCCTTTAAATAACATTATATCTAAATAAGGTGAAAAATCGTACAAAAGAAAGGATAATGAAAATGCACATTCAAATAGAACCTAAAACAGATTTTGATATGAAATGAAAAAATTATCATAAATGAAATATGTTTACATTAATCCATATATATGGCCTCCTGTAGCAAAATTCTAAATCCGAAGATAAGTGTAGATATCATTGTGATTCATATAAAGTTAGCAGAAAAAAAAACTGGAAAGAATACTTTTGGGCAACTTTTTACGTTTTAATGATGGTTGCTGATTTATGAAAATTCTTGCAAAAGTATATTTATTATGTATTAAATTTACTTCCAGTGAGTTTTTGTATTGTCTATACTAACTTTTAATTAACGTCCACCCATTGAATTGAGATTTAGAAATATAAATTACAAATTTTGTGTTTTTATTTGCAGAGAAACCAATGATTGCATTCCATGCGTACATAACCAAAAGATTACATCTTCACAGAGACACCCCAGTTAATATTGTATATGATGATGTTTATTACAACTTTGGAAATGCGTACAATCCTCATAGTGGCTTTTTCACAGCGCCATCTGACGGATCCTATGTATTTACTTGGACAAGTCTCGTTTATATGAAAAAGATCTTTGATGCTCATATTCTTGTAAATGGAGTCAATAAAGGGTATGGAAACTGTAACAATGGAATTGGTTTGAGTCTTGCAGATTGTGCAAATACAGTACCTTTGGTTTTGAAAGCTGGAGATAAAGTGAACATTCGTACTACAAACGCAAATGACTTGATGGACAATTGGTCTACTTTTAAGGGATGGAAAGTAAAATTAAGATTGTCTGGAAACTCTATCATTGTTTTGATGATCTATGAGGTATATAATTCCAAATTATTACAATGTTTGATAATAAATACTAGTACTAGAGATTTAACATACAAGAAATCAGTGTTCAATATTTGAAAAGACAAGACATGTGTACATAGTAAAATAAGCCATTTTACATATTTAGTTATTTGGCACTGTAGTTTCATCATTTTTTTATTGAAATCCACTATATTAGAAAAAAAGATACATCTAGTCTTTTTTGTTTCCGTATTATTTAATAGAATTTTAGTTTCCTGTTCAGTGAAACGTGTAAAAAATAAACCAGACAACTTATTGTTAAGTAGCTAAGTAAGTAGCATGTAGACAAATTCAGTGTTGAAAATGTTTTTTTCTTGTGTATAAAATTGGCATTTAAGGCGGGCATAATACTACAAGTTTGTTTTAAATACGTGAAAATTTCTGAAGGGGGATATCTGCTCAAGGAGAAATATAATGTTACTTTTTTGTATTATGCGGGGCGGACATCTTGCAAAGGCAGAAATAAACGTTTATTTTTACAAAACAAAGGGGCCGTGGTAAGGGAAAAAATATGATAGATATTCTGAAATAATGTCGGAGATAATTTGACGGCGGGTATGACGTGATTCAATACTCTATTCTGGCAACCCTAAGATGTACATTTAGAATTTTGTAAATAGAACCAATCTCCCGATTTTGTCCACTGGCGTTGGCGAAAAAGTCCTTCAAGCATCACATGACCGTATATTAAGCATGGCTGCATTGGAAACAATAGTTCCGAACCTTTTTTATTGTAACATTATTTACTTCATTTAGTTATTTCAAATTTTTTCCATATATTCCCTTCAGGATAGGAAAAATCCCTTTCCATGTTTACATAAGAGTAAAATTATACATTTACATACAAAGAGAGACATTCAATGTTGAGTTAATAAAATCTTAAATTTTGTTAAAAAGCGCTGTGAAAATAATGGGCAGACCAATTGACATTATCGTCCTTGACCTGAGACCACCAATACTTGATAATTATACACAAAAACGCAACTGGGGTAACAACAATTTTTTTTTAATTGAAGAGCGTGTAATGCTTTTTTTTTTTTTGAAAATAAAAAAAATCACATTAATAAAGCATTTCATCTAGAACCAAAAGAAGAAGAAGAAAAAAAGAAATTAAAAAGAAAAGAAAGCCCGGAGCTATTGTTAAGAGTATATCAAGTGAATGTTCCAATGCTTTCCTGAAAGTAAATTTCCATTAAAAAAAAGAGTGGAACAAAAACAGGAATAAAATATTTTGCAGGAAAAAATATGCAGAGACAACACATGTATACTTTTTATGAGAAGAAAATCTGAGCTTTAATTTATATTCAATTTTATATACTGTGAAATCACTTATTTTTGTGGGGGTTTAATTTTCGTTGTTTTCAAGGTATGAAGAGACCCACGAATTCATGTCCACCACGAAACGTAAAATGTCATATACATAACTACCTGTACTCAACAATTCTTCATGCACGAAATCAAATCCCTACGAATCCATAATTTTCCCCCAAACCATGAAACTTCGACCCCACGAAAATACGTGATTTTACACTAGATTTAAGTAAATGGTCTAAAGTAGCTGAGTTGTAACGATAATCGATGATATAAGGTTTCATGGTCACTTTCAGATAACTTTCAGTTCTTTTGAAATCTGCATTCTGTGCGCGCAATTTAAAATAAAATTGTTACAGAAGTTAATTGATTTTCAGCGACATACTAATTTCGTATGAAAGAAGAATCATGCATTTTTTGCGAGAAGTGGTTTGTTTTCTTTTTATATAGAAAAAAAACTTTTTAAAACATTCGTTGCAACCTATTCGAAGCGCTTGTACGGCTGAAAATTTCATCTTGAAATTTGTAAATTAATGAAGCAACATTAAGATTTGCAGTGGAATACTTTTTTCAACATTATATTGTGTTCATATCAAAACTTTATATATTTTCTACTATACTTACTAAGAAATTGATTATAATGCCATTTTTGTGTATACTCACAATAAACAAATATAAATGGAGAAACTCGCGATGACTTGACCTAACAATGAGGATACAGAGACGTCAATAAAAATATGACGATATAGGGCAGAAATTCAAACACTGAGTGTATTTTTGCTGCGTTTAAACATGTAAAATGTAAATATACGGAATGCTTTTCAAGCAAGTTTGTGTGATTTACACACTAATAACTCACACACAACTGAAAAAAATTCCTTTATATATATATATATATATATATATATATATATATATATATATATATATATATATATATATATATATATATATATATATATATATATATATATATATATATATATATATATATATATATATATATATATCCCGGTAAATATTTACAAAACCATGTTTGTATGTTAAGTTTTAGAGCTGAAATCGATCTTTAAAATTATAGCTGTGATATTACAATGGTAAATTTGTAAGCGACATTAAAAATTCTTAATTAGGCATGTTTTTGTAGAATGACTGTATTTCTTGACTATCCATTTTATATGATGAAGAGGGTCTAAAAAAATTATCTGAAATTTTCCCGACAAATTTGTAAAGTTATATTAAACACAGTTACACCTTAAAGTGAAAAGTGATTCAATAGGTGAGTCCATAGGCGTGGGGCCCGTTTTACAAAAAGAACTTACGACTAAGACTAAAATGTAATTTTGCAAATAACTTTCTTTTTTACAAAAATTAGAAAATGGTTTTAGTCTTTTGAAAAAGAATTTAGAAAGACGTATTTATGCGGACAGTTTGTAATAAAATCATTAATTGTGTAAGATTTTACAATCACCTAAAGTTTTTGATCTTAGTTGTAAGTTCTTTTGTAAAACGGATCCTGGTCAGTTTCAAAGTATGGCACTCACAATGAAAGAGGCATAGTTTTAAATGTTAATTCATTTCATGTATTATAATCACGAAACAAAAACCTTTGTTTCATCCCTCCTTTTTTTATGTTTTGTTAACCACATACACAGTACATTTATAGCTAGATAAATGTCTTCTCTTAAAAAAAAATAATAATTAGTGTTGGATAATTGGATGTTTCTTAGCCGAAAAATCAATTTAATGTATCTATTGTTGAATAGAGTAGGGAGAATGATTTTTAAAAAGAATAAGTTAATAATTCTAATGACAATGAGTTTACTTTTTCTACATATTTTCTTACAAAAAATACTAGATGTTGTAGTGACCCTATTTTACATTACTGTGTTGAACTCCTGACATCGGATATGTATTTTATTTAACATTATTTAAATATTATAACACATAATAACCATTCTTAGTTTGTAAATCAGTTCGTCGTTTTTTTTTACCATTTACGGCAAGTTTTTCATATTTTCAAGACTTCAATACATGATTATTTGCAATGTGTAAAATATGTACATTGTATTAAAAAAAATGTGTTAAGTGATGAAAACTATTCTTTAAATTGACTGTAAAATGATTGTTATTTGTTTAATAGACATAATTTTTTGAACATATCAAATAGTATCAAACATCTTTTTTTTTCAATTTAGTTTTTAGTAAAGATAGATAAAGTTCATTGATAATTATAAAACAGTTTTGTTGCACTCCTGACTGAAGTAAAATTAAAAAATAAATCCATAGAAAACGAAAATTTAAAGTATTGGCAATCTCAAGTGGTAACGAAATTGTGTAATATTTAAAGTTCAATACTTCATAATTAAAACAGGTGAAAGTATTTAAACTTGGCTCTGTATCTTGAATTATTCTCTATTGATAGAGAGACTAGCTAAAAAAATATTTAGAAGACAAAATATATTCTATTGTATATTTTTCTTCACAGAAAAACACTATAAGCAACTTTGTTTGTTTGTTTGTATGTTGTTTAACGCCCCTCTCGAGAATTTTTCACTCATATGGAGACGCCACCACTTGCCGGTGGAGAGCTGCAAATTTTGTCCTATACTCGGCACTTACGGCCATTGAGCAGTGAGGGATCTTTTTCATGACAGCACCTACTGCGACTAGGGACCTCGGTTTATACGGTCTCATCCGAAGGACCGGTCTCCACGTCCCACAGTGGGATTCGAACCAGCGATGTAAGGATCAACTCCTTACGCCGCGACTCTAGAGCAGACGCTCTAACCACTGCGCCACGCGGGCGACCTATAAGCAACTTAGGTCAACTATATTTATTTTCATCTATATTTATTCATATTTGATCAGCAATAATTCTAACATATTTGTTGCACTCCTGACTAAGAGCATGGGAGTCTTTAAAGTAGAATTGTGAAGTGAAATTACATCAGAACTTGTTCTGTTGTTTCACTGAAACTGAGGTAAAATTACTTGAATTTTATAATTATTTTTCAGTGTGTTTATTTTTTACTTTCATTAAAAAAAATCAAAGAAAAGATCAAAACACATCTGAAAATGAGAAAATTGAAAAAGAGAAGGAATTTAATAATAAAACTGTCGATAATTTAGTAATTAATTATTCAAATAGATCATTATTAATTAGAGAATATTTCTTAGCATAAATAGATAATAAACCATTATTTATTTATTTATTTCACAGATCTTCAAAAAATATTGAATTTTCAAAATGTCACAAAAAAGGTGTTGCGCTCCTGACATTTTTAGCATTATTTTTGTCCATAACTTTTTTGTGAGTTGAGATATCAACGAGATATTTGGGAGGTATTTAGACACTATCTAAAGACATATGCTGAGACAAAGAAATTTATTCCCATTTCCTGTGTTTTAGTGCAGGTTGATAAATATGTGTTTGGTCATTTTTTTTGGAATTCACCCAACTGCGAAATATTACTGTGATGGAAATATTTTTCTTTTAAAGCAGGAATTTTGTATAGTAAATGAAATGCAGGTGAAAGTAATTGAAACTACAAGGTATTTTACAGTGAAATTAATTAATTACAATTACAAGCAATGGAAAAAAAATGCTCAGTTACAAATTACTTCCAGTTTACTTTGAAAAATGTAATTAATTACACTAAATTACAATTACTCTTTTTCAGTTACCCTATTCTTGACGCGTCTTGTCTAAAAAAATTTAGGAAGGGGGGGGGTCATAGAAAATAGGAATGAATTATAGAAATCTCCGTGAGAACAAAAAGGTATGAAATAGTCAAATATTTTTTATCTTATTTAACATATAGTAATTTATAAAGAATTCATAGTAACATTTGTGGATAAATAGTCAACTGTACATGTTAATATAACTGAATTCGTGTGTAATGTAAATATTATATGACTACTTATAATCTATAGATAAAATCTTTAATAGACAATCATATTTGAAAAGGAAATTAAAATAAATGAAATAAACTTGCTAAATTTTAGAAAAAAAAATTGCTAATTTCAAATTTGAACCGATCCCGATGAAAATCGTTACAAAGTTATAGATTACTAAACGGAAGTTTTTGACATGCATTTGCCACCGATAAATTCAACTTGTTAAAATAGCAATACTTCAGTCAAAATTCTTGGAAAAAAATATTCAGGAATGTAAATTTCAAATGTCAATCCGACTTTTTTTTTTTTACATGTTTATTAGAATTTTAAATGTGAATTTATTAAATACCAATTTTCAACTCTAAAGCATCTTATTTACAAATGTAAAACATTTTAAAAATATTTTTCTTAAAATAAAGAGAATCAAATAATTTATAGAGGAGCTAATATCAGACTTTCAAACCATATTTCATAAACTATGTCTTAAAGATTTGTTAAATAAATTTGTTTAGCACTCCTCTTTAAAGATGGTGTTTATTTGTGGAAATTATCTTCGTTGAAAAATGATTCAATTAGCTTTTTGATGAAAAAAATATTGATTCCTAGATCCTAGCAAATCAGAATAATTTCACTGTAGACTAAACCAAAGAATTCACATACTAATTACAAACAAAAAGTTAAACGCATTTTTAAGAGATAAGAAAGCATTGTTGAATATTATATTAATACACATCCATATTTTACAGCAGTTTGTTTCTTAATACAAAAAATAAGCCTATTCTGGAACATTGTTCTCTTTATATTTTCCCTGCGATATTTGATTCAATGACGTCATAGGCGTCTTTGGATCAATAATGTAAGAGGCCTTTTTCTGGTTACGTTTCTTTTCAAATTTCTGTCTTTGTTTTTTGTTCCAGAAACAGAAAATTCGTTTGATATGGTACCGGGGCTCGCTGAATCTCCAGACATAGAAAAGAGGGTTACAGGCGCTGTTGAAAAGTATCGTCGTCAGGGATGTGGTGTAAATCTGTACGACGATTTTCGATTCAAAATTAAAAGGAAATGTATAAATGACCATAAAAGGAATAAATGCTGTCAGAAACACACCAGTGATGATGGATATTTTTCTGGCAATCCTTGCTTGCTCTCGCGCGAACACGATAGACTGAGCAGAATCTTTCGCGTCTGTGGATCGACCCAGTTTTAGACGAATTTGACAAACCATGTAAATAAACATGATGAGATTGAAAGCAACAATTGTTAAAAGGATACATCTGAAAAATAAGGACACCGCATTTCTCTTCACGTAGGCCATTACTTGGCATGAGATACCATATTTGTTCTTAAAATCAAAGAACAGGCCATAAATCATGATTAATCCTAATACCCATGATGCAACAGAAATTTTTAACATCAGTTTCCTTGTTATGAAAGAGTAGTATCGCATTGCTAAAATAAAAACACAGCAACGATCCAGATTCATCATGGTGATAATAAACAGTGATACAGTGGTGAAGAGAAAACCCAGGTACTTCTTGATGTCGCACTGGTAGTTCTCATAAAGCATAGCATTTGGTATGCTAATGAAAATTCCCGTCAGCAAATCAGACAAAGCCAAGTTTAGAGACATGATCCGGATTTGAAAACTGAGGCGGGAACTGATATACAACAATCCGATAGATATAATATTTTCTACCATCATCAAAATCCCAGCAGGAATAAGTATGTAATCCGACATTGGTGGCTCCGGTAAATTAAAATTTGGTGAAGTATCATTTTCTACATATGATTCTGAATGATTTCCAAAAATGTCCGACCAATTCATAATGTTCTTTATGTTAGATATATTCCGATATTTTTTTATTTGTTATGAAATAATTGAATCAGTCTTAGGTGGAATGTTGAAAAGTAAACGGATGTAGTGGAGTAGATTGTATATAAGGAACATTCGGAAATCAATACCTCTTTGACAATCACCTCCAATATTATTCAAAATTATTGAGTATCATAAGAGTAATTACTTCGTATTCATAAATGATAATGAAGGAATCATGAAATATAAGAAGATAACGAAGAGTATTCAAGCTCAAAAGTCCATTGAACATTACAAATTTTAGAGCAGAGCAAACACGGACCTCTAAAACATCAGAGGTGGGATCAGGTGCCATGGAGGAGTGAGCATCCCCTGCCGACAGGTCACACCCGTTGTGTGCTCCTTGTCATGATCGGTAAATAACGAAAAAATCCGTCGACAATTCAGTGTGTAAATAATGGCCTAACAATTAGTATGAAAAACGTCAGTCAGCATTTGACTTAATGATAAATTGTATTTGCTGACAGGGTCATTGAATCCACCATAGAACTTACGAAATGACGACTTTAAACGAGACAGCTGATATTCTTGTTTCATCAACTTGTTTGTCAATAACTTACCTCGTTTAAGAAACTGTTCATACGTAGAGCATGTTCTCGTGTATCGAATCAACTGAGAGATATAAACCTCATATGCAGGTGATGAAGGCATATTGCTGCATAAGTAAGGGAAGTTGAAGGTTGAAAAGTTAAAGTCATCACGTTTATCATAAAGTTTGGTTGTTAGATTACCATTAACGTCTTTTTCTAGTAAAATATCCAAATATGAAAAAAAAATCAGACTCTTTGGTATCTTTTATTTCAAGCTCACAGAGATATATCGTATCGACATAAGAATGGAAATAACCATATGATTGTTGATTGACAATACCTCGTCGATAAATCTAAATGTCGAGTTAAAGGCCACAGCAAGTGTTTTCTTCTTTTCACAAATAATATTCTGAACAAATTTTGCTTCATATGAATACAAAAATAGGCCTCCTAATAACGGGGGTCAATTGGTACCCATGGGAATTCCAATAGATTGTTGGAAGACCTGGTCTCCTAAAACCACATAGATATTGTCAATCAGAAACTCAAGCATCTTTTTAACATCAACTTCAGAGTACTTGTGTGTACAATCAGAATGTGGTTTTTTTTTTAAAATAATTTTGCAAATGACCAATGACAAGGTAAGTAAATTTACGAGTTCCATTTTTATTGAAAAAGTAACTGTCAATGATACCAAAAAGCCTGGACTTTAATTTATCGTGGGGAATGATTGTATATAAAATTGAAAAGTTTTTATGTTGTTGATTTCGGTAACATTTTGTGATTTCAAATTTTACAAAAGTATCTTGGAATTATTAAGTATTCACATCTGATTAATACCACTTCTCGAATATATTGTTGCACAGGATTCCTGAAGTTTCTCCTTCACTTATTATTTTAGTGAGGAGTTAAGGAAGAGGCTTGGTAGAACATTTACTTGAACCCGCTACGTATCTTTGTTTGTAAGGATTTTTATGAAGTTTCGGAATCCAATATAGATATGGTAATTCAAATTCATGTTGGTTGTTGGAAATATTAAAATATACAAATCTGACATATGATTTTGAAGAATATCCTATTTAGAAAGGGAGCTATGGGTATAAGTTGGATTACCACTTGTAGAATTAAATCCAAGTTCCTCTAAAATACATTTAATATAATGAGCCTTACAAACAAAGACAATGTTGTTACCTACTTTGTCAGCAGGGACAGTACATACTGATCGTGTAATCTATTTAATTCTTTTTCATTTGTGAATTATTGAACACAGAAGGATTGTTTTTCATTTTGCCCCTCAATCTCTTAATGAGAGATACATCCGATACATTTAATCCATTCCGACAACGTGTCAATGTCTGGCCCATCGCCAGGTGTAATCTTCAACAGAATCCATAATATTTATGAAATTATGACGCCAGTTAAAAGGTCAGGGTTCCCTAAATCTGGTCCTTTTTAAATTAATGATCTAAGGTCCTCATTATTAACAATAATCACGTCACCAGTAATAACGTGTCCAGCAGGACTATAGTTGTAGCGTGAAGAAGGATATGAAAAGGAAGGAGGATTATGTTTCAGATATTCGATATTTAGGCTCTGTAAAGTTTCCTTGTAATTAAAAAGTTTGGAAGCAATAGTCGATGAATATTTTTAGAAAATACAAGGTGTAGTCTTCAATTTGAAATATGGTGGAATACAAGACCCTTTTGTTATTAGGAATATTACTTATATTAACTGCGTAAATTCCTTTGTTGGCATATTGGAGTTTAAGGAAAAAACCGGTACCTCGAATTACCGAAATGCCCCTGATTTACCGAAATGCCCAAGAAATTACCGAAATGCCCCTTGAAACTACCGAAATGCCCCTTCAAAACTGTAATACTTTGTTTAATATGAAAGGTAGTGAGTTTAGTATATATATTTTATTCTTTGATATTAAAAAATATATTTACAACTGTCGTTTTTTCAAATAGTTTAATAGTTTGTGTTCATCCAAGAAAGATAACTCTTGTTATCTGTAATTGATCTTTCTTTGTGTAATATTTCTCCAAAATTATACATTATTGTATCAAATGTTATATTACTATCGAAGATTTATTACTTAATTTTTTTAAATCAACAATCTTTTATATCACTTTTTAATTCGTTGTCAATGTTTTCAATTATGTTCAGAGAAAGAAGATCGGTAGGCTATATACTGATGCTAAGTATTTTCATAGATTCAAAAATATATTTATATATATATATATATATATATATGTAAACTGTAAAACTATTTTATCAAAGTGAGACTCGTACGTGCACAATAAGCTACCGATATTTTAATCCGATCCAAGGAAAATCGTACATTTATATATATTTTTTATATACATGTATAAATATATATTTTTTTAAATGACAGTAACGTAATTTTGTTTTCATGTTAACAAAATTATTTTCTGAATGATGTCAATTTACAGGCCTAATTATTTTAAACTTTAAAGTTTAATATGCTATAAGCAAATCGTAACTTCATTTATTTGCTGTATTAAATTTTATAACTCTGAAAACTCCAGGGGTTTGGTCTCCCCTGCTGCATCCACTACTGTTAACTATAATTATCTGTACCATTATACATTCAAAAATTTGGCGTCATGTCTATTGTCATGTACGTGTCATCCTCGTTAATTGGCCATTTGTGTAGTTCTGTATTCATCCAGGTGTGTGTCGCATTTTATATAAACCTAATGTAAGTTACGCTGAAAAAATATTAATTACGTCAAAAGATTAAAATAATGAATCCAAATAAAAATATGTCACATTAAAAAAAAAGAAATTAATTTCTACAAAATAGAGCTACATGGTTATGCTTTTTTAATGTAATTTAATTTACACCGGGTAGTAGTATTTCGCTCTCAGAAACCGGAATATATTTCGAACCTACTGACACATGTCATACATGTGTATTCTGTTTATTGGTCATTTCGGGTCGCTTCACTAGTATATATATGAATATTTTCAGTGTCTTGGCAAAATATAAATTGAGTTATGAATTCCGATGACGTTTGAAATTTCAGTTTTGAGTTAGAAAAAAATCAAATCGCTTTCTGTACTCAACATGGCTGGTTGCTACCCTTGTGTTCAGTGTAAAAAACGCTGCCGAAATAACACTATACAATGTTGTAATTGTAACAGATGGGTACACGTACATTGTGTACCAATGAGTTCATCTCAACTTAAAATGTGGTCGCAGCCCCTTCTCAGCTTCCTTTGCCGAGACTGCTGTTTTACAGACAACGAGTACGACTTTTCAAAAGCACTGGAAAGGTAAGTTTTTATTTCTTTTGGTGAGCCCTTTTTATTTAAAAAACATTCGTATAATATGTCTTTTTTCGAATAATTCAAAGAATTATTTTTAACAGTTTAATTTACATTACGTGTAACTGTTCTTGATCCGCATCTGGTGCTTCTCAAAAAGCGATAGTTAAAGGACGAAATGGTGGTTTATTCGTTTTATTTGTAATCAACATTTGGCTTAAAAGATAAGTACATAATTTAAATCATTATTAAAATGTCAACAGAACATCTTGATTATCATCACAAAAGTGTCTAAGCAAATCTTGTTGCCAAAACTGTTCTTCTCATGCAGTAAAAAAGTTTTCTTTGCCCACTTTCGTTAAGGTGCACTAAGTCGTCGCTATAATCCCGATCGTACTTGATCGTTTTTGTTGATATTATGGATGCAGATGTCAGACACTTCAATTTCTTGTTAATTTTCTTAAGTTGGGCTTGGTATCGACTCCTGGTCAGGTCCTTGGAATATTTGAATCTTCCTCTCGGCAGAACTTCACAAACATAAATGAAGCGCACATCTTCCTTAAACGCATCAACAAGATTTGCTATGTGTCCAAATACTTCACTAGGAGACGAATCGTCACTTATGTCATTACCACCCACTAAAATAATTACAATGTCTGGTTTAAATTGTATGACTTCGTCAATCTTTGTACGTGGAACATTGTTCGCACGCAATCCAGGAACTCCAAAAAAATTTGAGACACCGGGAATTTTCAAATCACCTTTACAAAATTTTTCAAGTCTGGTGATGTAACTGGAACCCAACAATGCTACCTTAGCCATGACTATGCGTGGAACTATAAAACCGAGCTGAAAATTTTCTTATATTTGTATGCATTAAAGCTTGGGGATAATTACACATTAAACCCCATTTACTGTGTATGACCACTACTCGGATGCGCCGTAATTATTTTAATTTAATATCTTTTAACTACAACTCTGCTCACTTAATATGAAATACTGCTTGGGATAATTAATATAATTATGATGATGAACACGTCTGTAAATTAAATGCGAAGTCGGTAAATAAATCGGTTATTGTTTTATATATCTAATATCTTTGAAACGTGATTGATTTAAACTGTGTAATTTACAGGAAATTCCTATCTTTATATAAAGTAATAAATCAAATAGAAAGATCTTTTTAATTTTAGTTATGCCATATATGACTTTCAGGATTTCCAGTGCTCTTCACTCCGACCCCAAGGACTTAAAGATGACAGTTTCATCAGAATCCCTCCTGCTAGAGACGTACGGCGTGAAAATCCCGAAGCAGACTAACCCATCCGATCAAACTGTAGATGAGGTTTCCAGAGACATACTTAAACAGTTTCACCCAGCAATTCTGTCCGCAGTATTCCCGGCTAAAACTGTTGGTGATGGCAACTGTATGTACCGTGCTGTATCTCGGGCTATGACGGGATCAGAATCACATCATGTCCACTTTCGATTGTTGACTGCGATCGAGATCCTGCAAAATAAGTATTATTATGATCCTGATCATAGAAAATTTGTTGATCTAGTAAATGACAATAGAATTGTTTGTTCACCATATTCAGAATCGTTACAAGACGCTGTTTCACTATATGCATTTTCTTCTATGACTCACATTTTTGCCCTGAGTGCTGCTTTACGTCAGCCAATAAGATCATACTATCCACCCCAACTGTCCGCTGAATTTGTTTCAGAACCTCACTCAAGGAAAGTTATAGGTAGGGGTGTTAAAATGTCTGAGTCACCTACTATTACAATTATGTGGACTCAAATGCGTTCTTTATCACACAAAGTATCATTTTCACCCAATCATTTCGTACCACTTATCAATGTGCATGCGGCCAGTGAGCAAGATGTTGTTAACTGTGATGTGAGCATGTTGAGCGAAATTACGAGTGATTGTGAAGTTGAAGTTAGCAAGATTCAATGTGAGAGTGTTAGTGATACTTCAAGTGCCAAAAACACTCCAATTACGCATGTAGAAGAGCGCAAGATTGACTATAATCAGAGTAAATGTGACATTTTAAGTGAGACTGTGAGTGAATCTGACAACAACATTTCTGTGGTTCAAGAATCTTGTGAAATGGACATAAATAGCGAGTCTGGGGCGAGTGAAACTATTCATGCACCGTTTATTGCGAATGAATCTGTACATGACTTAGCAAACGGTTGTCTTGATAGAGCATTCCTAGACGTCAATGACCTAGTGACTTTGTTACAATCGTTTTCCTTTACTGAATCGCACGCGTCAATTCCGACTGGATTAAAAAATGATGTATATTTTGTAGTACAAAACTCGCACAATCTTGGCAAACGGACAAAAGGCCAAAGAAGTTCCTTTTCCGATGACTGTGGAGTTTGGAACTCCTCCTCAGGCAGCACTCCAAAGACGTGTTTTATACGAACGGAAAGTGGTGATCTAAAAAATGTATTTTTAAAGAATGGGGCGTATTGTACACAGAAAAAGGAAAAAGGGAAGCGCGTGTATGTTCCCCTTGAGCCCCAACCAGAAAACTCAGTGATCGAGTTATATCGTCATTACACAACCCTTAAGCAAGATTCTTCATACAAAAAACGTGTTTCGTGGCTGGCAAGTGACAATGAGGAACAAATCGCGCTCGTGGAATATTTAGGCCATTTTCCGGGACTTGCCTCACACGGAAATTCTAAACAAAAAACCGAGTACATGCGAACGCCTGCCACTGTAATGCAGGAAATGTCTAACCTCTTGAGTAGTAAAAGACCTGGGGACGTGTACAATGTACTGACAGCAAAATATGACGAACTACAAGGACCAACTAGTAAAAAACAGATCTATGACAAAAATCGTAATGACAAAAAGAAAGTACGTAGCGATCAAGGACATTTCTTACGTAGGGGTAATATCGCGGATCACGTATCCGAAATTGATAAATTGGTCGCGAAGGGTGGTTCGATTGTTCAGTCGATCATCAGGGATCAGGGGAAGGCACCGTGCCTTATTCTGTATAACGAAGACCAAATGACAGACATTAAAAACTTGTGCTGCACGGGACAATCACCTTTAGGCATTGACAAGACATTCAACCTTTGCGACATGCATGTGACAGCGACCTGCTACAGACAAAGTAGTGTTGTAATGGAAAGTACTGGGGAACCTCCAATTTTTTTAGGTCCCCTTTACATTCATGACAACAGCGACTTTGAAACTTACAGCAATTTTTTTAACCATATGAGGACAAAATTATCCGACAGTGACACAACTAAACTTGTTTTTGGTTCGGACGAAGAAAAAGCTCTTGTCAATGCTATTACGACAGCATTCCCAAATTCACAACACATGTTATGTAAAAGACATCTTTACCAAAACACGAAACAAAAGCTTGTCGATGATTGCGTTGACAAATCGGACAGACGAGAAATCTTGGACTTAATTTACGGGGATGACGGACTAATTACAGCAGATGATACCATTTGTTTCGAGGCAAAATGTGAGCATATTGAAGATGTCTCGCGAGAGCTGTCGGGGAAATTTTTAAAATATTTCCAAAACAAACTGAAATCTAATCTGAAAGAAAAAGTGAACAAGCCGATGGCATCTGGATTTGTTGATAGTCCATGGACTAACAACAATTCAGAATCTTTAAATCATATTTTGAAACAAGCAATCAACTGGAAATCACAACCTCTTTTGGATTTGACTATAACCCTGACAGGTCTCATAGACACCCAATTTAAGGATCTAAAAAAGGCTTTAGTAGGGACGGGACAGTACAGACTAGCGGACACCCACAGACATTTTGAGGTTTCAAAGTCTGTGTGGGTGTCTAAAACAACAGATGAACGGAACAGACATTATAAGAAATTTCGAAATTTCAAAGCAACGGAAAAGACGACGGTTACTTCGACAGACGGGAAGATGACGATTGTTAAACCCAAGTCGCTAGGGAAGAAATTAGGACAGAGGAAGAGAAAAATCAATGAGAGGACTACCACTATAAAAAAAGGGAAAATGTAATTAAATTAAATGGATGGTGCGTACGCCGTATCTCATTGTCGAGATGCCCCCTTTTGGGGTAGGATTCGACCATCTAAATTTGATTATATTTCCTGACAATTTATCCTTCAGATTAGTAATCCTCTTCCTGGAACATTCGGGTCCCTATGTCGCCTTGTCGCGACATTGCTTGATGCATGGGGATGTACATGTACATAACAGTTGTTGTATATAATATTAGATATCAGACAAATGTTGTATATAATATTAGTTTAATCGTTTAATCATGTAATTAATGTGTAAATTCTTGCATTTCAGGTCCTCCTTAATTCGAAAGATCGTATATGCACAGAAAGTTTATTTTCACAATATTTGTATAAATGACAATTAGTTTTCTTGAACCAGTTGACAATTAGTGTTTTCCTAAGTTGGGGATTTATTTCATTAACCATGTCTTCCTTTCTGGATTATTCCTTTTTTAAAAACGATTTTTAAGTTGAGGATTTGTTTCTTTAACCATGTCTTCCTTTCAGGATTTTTCCTTTTTTAAAAATTATTTTTTATCGATTCATTATTCAATTTTGGGTTTAATTATTTATCATTTCAAGAATGATTTTTTTTTTCACTATTCATCTTTGGGTTTATTTATTATTATTTCAAGTTTCGTCTTTGGGTTGAATAATTATTATTTCAAGTTTGATCATTGGATTAAATTATTATTATAATTTCGATTACAAAACTTTTCATTACAAAACTGAATAAAATTAAAAATAAAAACAGATTTCCGTTATAATTCGTCTTCTTCCTTCGCTTACTCGAGACTTTGTTCAGCAATTAAGTTTGCCATTCCCTGTATACGATGGCTGACCTTGTGTACTGCATTTGATTTATATTCAGCTTTTGATTACCCAGAAGTCCCTTTTAAAACTCTTTTTTTAAACCTTATATGTTATATTATACTTATATGAGATGTAAATAAAAACAGTATACTTACTTGTACTTCTGTCATGTTTTCTTCTTCTTCTTCCTTTTTAAAAAAAATATTTAACAAGACATACGGTATAAAAAATTTTTGTCATCAAAATAATAATAAAAAAAAAAAAAAAAGAGGGATCATTAAATCATAAAATAATAAAATTACAACAACGGACAATGCATGTAACGTGCTTCCCGCTGAGACAATGTTGCAAGAGTTATCGTTCTTAGATGTCACGATAATCGAGCGAATTAAACACAATTTTTTACATTTGTGTTCAAAATACAAAGTTTTATTAATAAAATTTATCATAAATTATCATAAAATGCCTATTTCGATATAATTAAAGGGGCATTTCGGTAGTTTTAAGGGGCATTTCGGTAATTTCCAGGGGCATTTCGGTAAATCAGGGGCATTTCGGTAATTCGGGTTACCCGGAAAAAACGGGTTGTTTTAGCTGCATTCTCTTCTGTAAAAAGTGTCGGTTTAAAAAGCCGATGATTTTCAATATCCATAACCACAAATCCGAGCCTGTATTCTGGTGTCGAGGAATAAAAAAAGGGGACTTTCCTTGACCTTTTCAAGTAGACTTTTAAAAGTTTCAAAGGGACAGAGTAAAGTTTGGTGCGAATGTGCTGAAGACCTAACTGTTGATTTACATAAGGTAGTAATGAATCAAAGGAGACATCGTGTATAAAAGGTTTATTATAAGACCGATGCCCATGACTACGTTTACGTCTCTGTGTATGGTTCAAAAGTCCCATCACATTACACTGTGGACTGGAAAGATTCCCAACACTATCGACATTGTCATTGCATCCATAAGGAAAGACTGTGCCTAGTTTTCTAATCCAATATTCTTCTTGTTGTCTACGGAGAGGTGTACTCATTGATGGACTGTTTTTATGATGGTAAATCTTTTCTAGAATTCTAACTTTCATTGACAAAATAGAATGATCAGGTAAATTAAAATGTTTGTATAGAAGCTGCTGGCCCCATCATCTGAGAAAATGATGAAGTTCCCTTTATTGACAGTTATGTTTAAATAATTAATATTACTATATAATCACATCTGTAATTGTTTGATAAGGATGGTCTATTTTCGCAATAGTAATTTTACAGCATCGAAAATAATGGAGTGCTGATTTAATGTCAAGTAAATCGAAATTTTTTTTTTTTTTTTTGTAAATTCAGCATGACTGTTTTGTTTTGTTCTTTTTCTAAAAGTAGAAATGGTTTACCAAGTTTACAAAGGTTAATGCCACTTTTAATCCTCTTTTATAGAATATAGTGAGTAGAGAGGGTTATCCCATTGTTGCAAACCACGATTTTGAGTCCACAAGCTCCCTCAAACCCGGGTGACAATGAAAACGACAACTTTATTCTCATAAAACTGGTAACAGTTGTAGAGAACAATAAATACCGGATATTACAACATATACAAATGACAATGCGCATTCCGTGGCAGAATGAACCAGGAGAGCGACCTCTTGAGATAATCATTTGAATACATTTACATAGCTTTACCAACTGTTTCTTTTTGTAAATTGAAACAGATTCTCAAATATGAATGTATTCGGGTTCATATGGAATCCGGATAGGGCCATGCAGTTCACTATCGCATCATCGCACCATCGAAGTTTGAGTCGATAGTGCGATGACGCGATAATGCGATGACGATGAAGCGATGGTGCGATAACGATGAAGCGATGGTGCGATAGCGCGATGACGATGATGCGATGACACGACAATGCGATGACGATTATGCGATGGTACGATGAAGCGATGGCACGATAGCGATGATGCCATGGTGCGATAGCGATGATGCCATGGCGCGATAGTGAAGACGCGATGCTATATCGTGTCATCGTTATTGCTTTATCGCACTATCGTCATCGTGTCATCGCACCGTCGCTCTATCGACTGGTACTTTCTATAACCGGATAACATTCCCAGCAGTCATTGCACAACATGGCGTTTGTTGACGAAAAGATTCAAGAAAATTTCTTTAAGGATACGATAATAAAGAAATCATATTCCTTCTTTTGAGTAATTATGGTGTAAAAATAATAAGGTAGGTATTATTAATTGTCATAAATTATGATAATATAAGTACCTGTATAGGCTAATATTTTCTCTAAGAGTAATAAAGTTACTATACATTAAATTTATAGTCTCATTCAAAGATTGTTTATAGGCGTGTTCTACTTGTATGTATATATCTGTTATTTAAGAAATAGTAATTGAAGTTAAAATCTCCCATTTAAAGATATATTTTATGCATTATTTTTTAAAATAATTAAGCTGTAGACATTTGAAAAGGCGCATGACCAGAATTAATTTAAGAAGACGGAGATCATACAATGTATGACAATAAGGGCTATTCAGGTAATATTGCTTGTGTTTTATTTCATCTTTCTTTTTTGATAGATTGATCAAATCTAGAAAAATCGTCAGTAACATCTACATTTTGATGATAGCTCATTATTTTTAGTTAACTCATACAAATGTTAAAAATTTCATATGATTTACATATATTCTACTCCAAGAAAGAAATGATGTTCAGTGGACAGACCTCTTGGGTGTCGTTCGATGAAACGAAGACTTCTTCAGAAACATGGCATCTTTATAGGAAGGTATATTATCTTATTATGATTAATAAACAGAATTCAGGTTTCTTGTTCAAAGTATTAATTTTATTCCTTTAATTCAGCAGAATGCCAATTATACAGAATATTTGCTGACATTACTTTTATGAGCTTAAGGACAAACACAACAATTATACAGAATATTTGCTGACATTACTTTTATGAGCTTAAGGACATACACAACGTAGTGTTGGAATTTTATTTTCTTATTCCCTTGTTGATTTAATTAAGAGTTCAATAATTGAAAAACCTTTGTACAATTTAATGATGCCTGTAAATGCCGTTACCTCCTCTGAAGCAAATGTTGAGGAAATACCAGCTAAAACTATATTTTTGTTTTTTTTTTTCTTTGAGAAAATACAATGATTTTCATCATTTGACATCTTTTGAAAACTCCTGGTAATGTATGCTTTTTTTTTTTTTTTTTTTTTTTTTTTTTTTTTTTGTCTTAAAACACCTGATGAGATTCTATAATTTTAAATTAGGAATATCCTGGAAAATAGTTGGTAAGGTACATGTAAATGCAAGTTGCATATGACCTTAAGAGGCAATAATGCTTTTCTTAGTCACAATTTGCAACTTCTATACTACTTGTCATGTATTTCTAACTCATCCCTTCATTTTCCTTTTCTTTCAGAAGGTACATCTGAAATTAATCTAAACATGCTCTTGGCGTTTTGGACTGGAGCTGACACAATCCCTCCACTAGGATTTCACAAAAAGCTTGAAATTAAATTTGTGGAAGACCCTGCCTGTTTGCCAGTTGCACATACCTGCGATCTTTTGTTGAAAATATCTAGGGGAATTTCACAGAAAAATGTAGTTGGCATTCACTTGGGGGGGGGGGGGGGGATACCATCTTGCTTAAGAAAATAACTTTATGTATTCAATGCTATATCTATGTTTTGAAAGTTTTCATTCAATTAATTTTTAAACTCAATAATGGCAGTGATAGTCATATTAAGGAATAAGAGTATTTCTTAAGGGAAAGATAATACTAAAGGACATTGATAATCATATGAGGAGCATTTCTTCAGGGAAAGATAATGCAAAAAGACATTGATTTTTGTATGGGAATATTAATTGTTATTTGGTGTATTTGTGGTAGTAAGCATGCTTTTGAATTTTAAATTCTAGATTGTTGCATCTGTATGCCAAAAAAGTTTTTCTCAGAGCAGTTTGCTTTCCTTATTTTATATCCTCATTTTAAAATTTTCATTAATAGTTGTTCTAATGAATATGGCATGTATGGCGACCCAATAAACATAGTAATAATTTCTGTTTGTGACTTTTAATTCATACACTTAGATGATTATTGTACAACATTTTTCATGAAAATTGAAAAAAGTCAAGTGAAACATCAGGTGATGATTTATTCTCTAATCTTAATTTGGATTTTACACCTTTTCAACCAAGTACTTCAAAGCCTCCATGGCCTTCTCAGTAGTGTTTGGAACAGTTCTCCCACCCTCCAAAAGCAAATGATCAAAGTATGCTGCATTGTCCTCACAACATCCTGTCGAGCTTGGACTAGGAAATAATCTTTGAAACTCTAGCACGTCATGAATATCCACTGGAAATTTATAATCTACTGCACCTGTACATAAAAAAAATGAAGTCATAATGTGTTGAAATTGTTTTAAATTTGAGCACTGAAAAACAACCAAGGTATCTAAGGAGAAAGGTAAACACAGAAAAATATTCAAATTAAAGTTAGTGATTAAACAAATCTTTGCTAGGAAATATACCAAAATTTTAGGGTGGAAAAACATCATTTCTGGTTTTCCTGGGAGACTTCCATCATCATAGCGTCTTTGTGCTCTGATGTAATGGTTATTCCATTCTGTTTTTATTTGATCAAGGGTATAGAGAGGAGTATGGGAGGGTTATCTCTCCCCTAGGTCAGAAAATTTATAATAAAAATGCATACAAGTGTGTTGCATTCTGGAGGTCATTTTTTTCAAATATGAAATAAACAAATAAATAGCAAAACTTTAAACAAAAGATTGGTGTTTTCATGGGTTGCAATAGCATCCAGCCCCCCCCCCCCCTTGATGGCTCTGGAGTATAACTAAAACTATAAAAAGAACTGTGTCACCTTGAACTCTTTTAAATGAAACTGATGCAAATAATGAAAGTATGAAGTTTGCAAAATTTATTATTTTTAAAATTATCTGTGGTATCAGATTACACAATGACGCCCATGAAGATAATAATATGAAGAATTTTTTTTTGGTCTTTGAAAAGTAATAGTGAAAATAATCAGTTGATCTATTTCCTTTTAATAAACATATATAAGATAACAATTTTCCCTCAGGAAAATGTTCAGAAAAGTAGAGAGTTTGAAAAGAAACTTAAATGAGGATTACAAATACAAATTTTTAAAGTATTCAATTACTTCAGTTATTTGATCTTAGATTAAGTTGGGACTAACTGAATTGACTGTGTAGTAGACCATTCAGATTTGATCAAGCCCCCCCCCCCCCCCCCCCCCGATTTTCAAATCAAAGGGCAAATTACTCTAACTTCTACTGCAGGAGTGTTAACTGGAATAGGAACTCAATCCTAGGTGTGCAGATTTTAGAAGGTTATTAAACTCATCTGATTTGTTTATACAACATAAGTTACTGAATCATATTGTTATTTAACAAATAAAAACTTCATATTCATACCTGGTTAGACATTGATCTTCCTTTGATTACACTTTTTTCTCCACACATGTCATCATTATCGTACCAACGGAAGGATTTTTGAATGTCCTCAATGTATATATTCTCAGTTCCAGCATCAAGTCTCACACACCTTGGAGCACCTATGTATTGGAAAACTCATACTACCATGAACTAAGACAAATATGGTTTCTTTGTTCAAGTAAATATATTTTACAAAATAATGCATTTTATGTGTATTTATTCTGTATCAATACAAAATAATGTATTTAGAATGTTACTTAGTAGAAAATTAACTTGTGAAAATTAAACTGCATTTACAGTTTCAGGAATATATTTATCAATGATTTGTAAAAATTATATACTCAACTATTTATTTCCTCCAGGTATTTCAAGAAATATGATGCTACAACAAAAGAGTCATTGTTTGTTCTTGCAACTTTAAGCCATAGTATTCGTCTTGAAAATCTGAAAGAATAGGAATTTGATCATTTAGATTAATAGTTAATATTGTTTTCTGATATGTAGCTACAACAGTATATAACAATCATAAATTCTATAACTTCACAATTTTTTTTAATCTTACATGACTCAAATGAACACTAAAAGCTGATGCACATTAACTTACCCACACATTGCACCATGTATAGCGAAGCCAAATGGCTTCAACTTGTCGTACCCATCAACATATGCAAGATAATTTGGTCCATTGTTTACATGTAGATACATTCTTCTTGTCAAGCAGTGACTTGCTCTTAGATCAACTCCATCAGGATCGATTATTCTCAATAAACACAACATGTTATCCCTGGAACAGTATATATATATAATTAATCATCAACGATTTTTAAATCTAACCATTACATGTACATTTTAACAAAAAAAAAAAATGATTTCAATGAAATTATTATAAATATCTTATTTACATGTATATAAAACTCAGAAATGCAATGGGCACATCGTTTGAATTCTGTTTATTAATCATAATAAGATAATATACCTTCCTATAAAGATGCCATGTTTCTGAAGAAGTCTTCGTTTCATCGAAAGACACCCAAGAGTCTGTCCACTGAACATCATTTCTTTCTTGGAGTAGAATATATGTAAATCATATGAAATTTTTAACATTTGTATGAGTTAACTAAAAATAATGAGCTATCATCAAAATGTAGATGTTACTGACGATTTTTCTAGATTTGATCAATCTATCAAAAAAGAAAGATGAAATAAAACACAAGCAATATTACCTGAATAGCCCTTATTGTCATACATTGTATGATCTCCGTCTTCTTAAATTAAGTCTGGTCATGCGCCTTTTCAAATGTCTACAGCTTAATTATTTTAAAAAATTAATGCATAAAATATATCTTAAAATGGGAGATTTTAACTTCAATCACTATTTCTTAAATAACAGATATATACATACAAGTAGAACACGTCTATAAACAATCTTTGAATGAGACTATAAATTTAATGTATAGTAACTTTATTACTCTTAGAGAAAATATTAGCCTATACAGGTACTTATATTATCATAACTTAAGACAGTTAATAATACCTTCCTTATTTTCACACCATAATTACTCCAAAGAAAGAATATGATTTCTTCATTATAGTATCCGTGAAAGAAATATTCTTGAATCTTTTCGTCAACAAACGCCATGTTGTGCAATGACTGCTGGGAATGTTATCCGGTTATAGAAAGTACTAGTCGATAGAGCGACGGTGCGATGACACGATGACGATAGTGCGATAAAGCAATAACGATGACACGATATAGCATCGCGTCATCACTATCGCGCCATGGCATCATCGCTATCGTGCCATCGCTTCATCGTACCATCGCATCATCGTCATCGCATTGTCGTGTCATTGCATCATCGTCATCGCATTATCGCGTCATCGCACTATCGACTCAAACCTCGATGGTGCGATGATGCGATAGTGAACTGCATGGCCCTATCCGGATTCCATAGGTTCACGATGTAATAATAAGATAAATAAAAGGACCTTGCTTGGTTTATTATTGCATCAATACAACTGAATAAATAATGCAACTCATCACAAATTTCTTTACAGTTACTTTCCGGTAAAACATTTTTGTGACGTCGTCTTTTGTTAAACCTGGTTCAGTAAATTTCTCATTGTCCTACACTCCGTCCAATAAGTTACCTGTAGGTGTCCAATAAGATTCAACTTATTGGACAGCTACAGGTAACATCGAAATTATAAAAACAAAGGGCGATGCAGATAAAAAAAAAACAGCACTGGAGCGGCGTTGATAAATCGAACAATTTAATATGAACTATGTAGGAAACCTATTAATATTATTTATTAATGATTAATCCACGATGAACTGAATGTCTCACAGGAAATATTTAAGAAAAATTCGTGGCACTGATCTTAAATTTCATACCGTTCATTACTTTTCATTTCACAACGACTGACACACGGAACATTCACAGAATCATGAGGACACAAAAGAAGAATCATCAGGTTTTTTTTGGGGGGGGGGAGGGGGTTACACACAATCTTAGGCTTTTTTTTTCTTTTGCTTATATAGTTGAACATTCATTTTTCTGCCCTTAACAATTCCGCTCAGCAAATTTCGACTGATTCTTTAATGTAAACCTGTATTTTCGTTAGATTATTTGTGACCATTTGCCAATCCAATCCCGTGATGTTTGAGCGTGTGTCTTCCGTTGCTTTATAATTAAAGAGTGGCTTGAGTAAAATCCTTCAAAACCTGCACATAACGGAGAGACTGTTGCAAATTATATATATATATATATATATATATATACATATACATATACATATATATATATATATATATTTACATTTGCAAATGTTTTCCCTTATATAACATTACTCTGAGCAATACGTATCTATAACTGTATAAATACCTATACGGGGTCAACAGAGGTCATGGATGTGCGTATGAATATTTATGAAAACTAGGTTAACGGCACTATTTTTACTAAGGCAATACACATTTATCGATCGCTTCCGCTTATTGCAGAAGTCTAAAAATAGATATAACCAACATCACAAATTGTATTTATCGTTTTATTTGTATTCCAAGCAGTGGACTCAATCAATAATAAAACATTTCTGCAAAACAATGTCTTATTCATGTATGTCTAAATTTTCGTCTGCTACACTGACCCCAGGTCATTCTAATGTAAACAATGGCTGAATTTGGCAACTTTGATATGGGTGACGCAGAAATGTACCTTCTGCTAGACGATGACATATTTGCATCACTAGATCTTTCCTTTATGGCACCTCTGAGTGTTGAGGAAACTAATGAAATGGAGAAAGAGCTGAAAGTATCAGATATGGAGGGTCTGCCATGTCCTGGTGTGCCTGTTCATACACCCCCACCAGCAAAGAGATTCAAATCTATCTCCGAAAATGAAATGCAGAACTTTCAGGATGCAAGGCAATCTGTATCTACAAAAAGAAACACAAAATGGGGAATCAAGTTGTTTCAAGGTACATTTCACAAGTCAAATCATATTATTGTCAATATTTTAGCTGGTTTGCTGTTTATTTGATCACATTGAGCACAAAATCATGAGTAAAATATGAAATATAATAGTTAAACCAATAACCATTTAGTAAAAGTTTACAACAAAGAAAAGTTGATCCATGATGATTATGATATGTCCGTGTAAGAGAGGCAAGTACATGTTCTATTGTATATTATCTATATGTACAATGAACAGACACACTCACCACCAACAAAGACACACGTGTAAAAACTAAAATACTATACCTAGAGTAGACCAATATGCACAACAAGTGCACAACAAATAACTTGTATGAAATACATGTATCCAATAACAATGCAAACTGCATTAAAAATTTCTCAAAATATTAATAAAATTTGAATCAAATGACATGCAAAAACTTGAGGAAAATTGTTAAGAAAGTAAATAAATAAAACACTGATAAAATAAAAAATTCAAACACTGCAAGAAATATTTCCAATTAATTTTTAGATTGGCACTTGGAAGCCTTTGGTGAACATCTTGACTTCTTGACAGTCACTGCAGAATTGCTAGCTAACAGATTAAGAAAGTTTTATTGTGAGGCAAAGCCCAAAGAATCGAAAAAACGGTCTGTAGAACTTACTGAAATACAAGCAGAAACTTACCACAAAAACTCCTTGAAAAGTCTCAGATCTGCAGTAAACAGGCACCTGCAGGATTTGAGTAGGTCGATTGATGTCGTAAGAGACAAAGAATTTAAAGCTGCCAATCACACCCTTGATGGGATGTTAAAATGTATGACAAAAACGGGGGCTTCAAGGGCCACAAACCACAAAGAAGTAATCCATACAGAGGATTTACAGAGAATCTCCTCCTATTTCAAATGTGCACCATCTTCTCCTATTGTTCTGCGACAATGTGTATGGTACAACCTTTCCATTCATTTCATTTCCCGTGGTTTAGAATTTCACCATCAGTTACGCAGGGACTCATTTATGTTCCAAAAGGATGAAAATGGCCTACAATATGCCACACTTAGACATGAAACGCAACAAAAAAATTTCCAGGGTGGCATTGGATGTCATGAAGCCCCTTCGGACAAAAGAATTTATGAGATACCAGGGAATGATTTGTGTCCAATAAAGATGCTTCAGCTTCTGATGAGCAAAACAGATAAAAATGCTACTCACCTCTTTAATTCATGCTTTAAGGATGCTCTCTCTCTTCCAGGTCTGCAAGAAGTGTGGTACACTGATAAACCTTTAGCAAAAAGGTCATTCACAGGATTCATGGCCGATATATGTAAATCGTCAAAATGCATGAGGACCTACACACCACACTGCCTCCGTGCCACAGCCATCACAGCCATGAGCAGTCTAGACGAACTCCAAAAACAGCGTTTCCGGAAGTAAGAAATTGAGACTGAAAAAGACTCCGAAAAAAGAGTCCGCGCATGCGCACACACACAAAAAATGGCGATATTTCGGCAAAAATGATGGGTCTACAAAAACTGTCCGTGCAAAGTTTTGGAAAGTATGGCAATTATACCAGCACTCAGAAATGCTAAATAAAAGACTTCGGAAGAGATCGTATTTGTCAGATTTTTAATTTTATTTGCAAAAAAGGAGATATTTACTTTCAAAGTTAACGTTTCAAGTCAGATCAATTACAGAGAAAATAGTACGTTTTGAGAAGTAAATATGCATAAAAAGGGATATATCTGCAAAATGGGACAATATATATTGTAACTGTTAAAAACTTGACTGAATTTTACACATAAATTAGCATTCAGGTTTTTTATTTGTGTACGACATCTGAATTGGACGCGTAAGTTTTTACCATCGTTATTTACCGATTTTTTTTTTATCATATACGAACATATATTATTATGAACACATTTTTAAAACTAGTATCTATCAATATGAAGACTTTAAAACCCACTCTTCTAGATATTAGGGGCACAACATGTCTTCTAAAAATGAACCTGTTAATACCTCTGCTCCGTGGTGAAAAATGCACATTTTCTGATTAAAATAAATACAAGTTGGGTGTCTTCAAAAACAATTAAAAGCACCTTAAGTGTAGGAACGACATAAAATTTAAATCAAGGAGACAATAAGTTAATAAGAAAATATTTCTTACCGGCAGTATTGAATTTGATGTCGTATATCCAGTTCACTATTATGCAAGAG